AGCTAATAAACATAGCTGAACTGAATTTGCATTGTCTCTTGGAGTTCCTTGGGCTAGGCCTGACACATAGCTTCATAACCATTGATTTTCTGGATGCTAGGATCTCTTTCTAGTCTTAAGAGATGACCTCCAGGTGTAGAATCCACTCAGGTGGCGCCAGCACATTCTTAGCAAGGTTCACCAGATAGACCTGTTCCTGGCAAATGGCTGTGATATGTGCTCCAATTAGTGGATTGTGTAGGCAGATATAAATGTAGACTTTGTCTTCTTAAATAGCACACAAGAGCTACCCACACCTTGATGAATGCTGGGGGTGCTCAGCTTAGACCGAAAAGGAGTGCTCTAAAGTGATACTGATCACAGCTGTTGTTAATATTAATATCTCCATCTTAAAGCTTCAATGCCTGATTAATTATTCCAGCCCCTGAGGTTGAGAATGGCTCTCCAATCTTCATTTATCTTTAGCACTGTAAAGAAAGTAATTAAAAACACAGCAGAGAAAACCTCTTCTGGGATATGTACTCTGTTGTGCTCATGTTCTATAGGCACTTCATTGTCTCCTTCATCCTGAAATATTACCTTTTTGATCTTGGTGACAGGGAACAATTGACAGCTGTCTTCTGGCTTTCTTCTGCGTTCTAGTTCATTCTCTGAATTCTACAGCATATCCCTGCCAGACTGTGTCTCCAACCCCTCTCTGTTCTGGCAGAAGTGTTTCAAAGTATGCCAGACTTTTTCCAGTTTTGTATCCAGCTGGGACGTAATGGCATTATGCTGAGGAATGTTTCCCTTGGATTTTGCTTCCTCTGCCTTGACTGTTGAAGCCAAGAGCCCCAGACAGGGGCATCCCCCGTGTTCTTCCTTGACTGCTTCTTGTCCAAAATAAGGACAGGTCTTTAGTTTTTGATATGAAAAGATGATGCAGGACTTCTCTTGTATCTGCTTTCCTGCTTCCTCTAAGTTTTCTTGTACAACATGATTGGTTCTCCAAATATCTTCTTCCCCTAAAAGAGCTTTACTATAAGACTGGCTTTCAATTGGTGCTTCACTGCTCAATGTCTGAGCCATTGAGCCCTGAGGACCTGATCTGGAGGTCAGTTGGGCTTAGCTGGTTTTGCCCATTCCACCTTGGCTTGAACAGTCTTTCATGGGGAGCTGCAAAATGTTATCCAAGGTCTAATCTTCCTGAACTGAACCTTTAAGGAATGACTTTCAGTCATGGCTTATATCATGCTCCCCCATAGGAATAAAGGAACCTTCACATAATGTAGAACATCTGAGACTAGAGATCTTGAATGTGAGGTCATAGCCTTCAGCTTGCTGAAGATGGCTAGGGTTTATTGGATGGGCTTCTAGATTTGGAAGTAGCTGATTCCCTTCTACTGTAACGAATATGGCATCTCATTCTGGCCTGGAAAAAGCATCACTAGGGAATGGAAAGGGGACTGAGATGCTCTGTATGGATAGCCAGGATCAACCCAAAACCTACCCCTTCTCACCTGTATCTAAGCTACCATGCTGGTCATCACTAAGCCAGCTAGGGCCTCCTTGTCCTTCTCTGACATACCTCCACATCCACCTTCTTCCAGATTTCCAACCACTAGTAGGATAAAGAAATATCTGGTGGGTTTGTACCTAATGAGGCCTTGGATGCTGCCATGCTACTTCTCCCGGTCCCTATCCTGGAACTGGAGAATTGCTGCTAGCGGCATCACTTGGCACCACACCCACTATATATGTACGGGGAGGTAACTGCATGATATGGGGAGGTAATATTATGATTTTTCTCCTGGCACTCCTCACCAACACTAGATGGAGGGTTCAGGCCATCAGAAGGTCACTGTCATTGGCACTGCTCAGTGCTTAGTCCAGTGACATGGAGGGAGAAGCTTTCTAAGTGGACTTCAGTCCTGAATATGTTGTTGGCAGGCTTGTAGTCAACAGGGTTACTTGCCTCCCCCATGCTCCACTGCTTCTGGAGGCCATAGTGGGCTCTTCCTATGATGTTCTTTCCCGCATCTCCTAGTTTGCTCTCCCAGCTCAGGCATGTGACCCTCTCAGCTACAACCTCCTGCCAGCATGCCAGTCAGGTGGCATGCCACTGCCAGGATATGCTTTCACGCGGTGGAGAAGCACAGGTCTTCTGTTCGTTCTCTCCTTTTTTCTTTTTATTCTAGGCTCCCAAAGAGCCAAAGGAAACCCACTGCTTTCTTTAGAAGGGAGAGTATAAAACTTCAGGGAGCGGGGTTTCTTCCTAACCCTTCCTAGAAGGGTTAACTCCACCATTTCTAGCCAGAAAGCAGCTTTTTGGCTAGAAGTGGTGGAGTTAACCCTTTCCTGTTGGCTCCATTGCCAGTGAGAGAGAACATATAGATTAGCCCTTAATAAATGCCTGGGTATAAAATCAGCACAAAGGTAGTGAGGAACACACATAGCTGAGAACAGATTAGATAAAGCTGTCCCACCATTTCCATTCTGAACTCTACACAGATGTGAAATATTAAAAAGAAATCAAGAAAGAGAAATGTATTGATCACCTTTGATTTCTAAGGGGCCGTTAATATACTGTTTGACTTTATTTCTCTTCTTGTTGCTCCTTTCACGTTCTGGAGTAACATCTGCCCTTTTGTAAATGCCTCTCTTTACTTCATCGAAGACTGAAAACATATTGTAAACACGAGCAGTGTAGCCTGCTAATTCTGCGACCTGTAAAACAGCAAATGGTCATGATTTAAAGCAATAATGATAAGTTGTATGGATAAAGTACAGAAACAAATGCTTCTTTTATTATTCCAAAGGCTGGATTCATATTTTGTAATCTTCTTTTTGATAAAGAACAAGAGGCTTTTCTGAAATCCCTGAATCCAGTCTTGATATGTAATCAGATACTTTTCTGTTCACAAGAGAAGATCCATGAAACTCAAGTTTCAAACTAAAGTAATGTGAGGTGCAAAATTTCCATTAGTCAGCAGGACTTTTTAAAACTTTGAAAGGCTCTGGGGCAGAATATTAATTTGAAGTACACACACACACATTTTCTTCTGCTGCATCCTTAGTCAATGTAATTTTCCTGCATTTCTTTTCTTCCACCAAAGTCAATACCAAATAATTGGGAATGCGTAGGGAAACCTGAAATACCAAACACAACAAGGCACCAGGAATGGAGGAAGTTTCTTGTCAAGGATAAATTTTGCCTATTTATGTAGGGAAAATGCAGAAGAATACAGATATTCTATAGCCCCCGGAAGGGGGCAAAGACATGTAATGTTAGATTTGAATTGGCTACAGGAGAATGCAGGAAATGTGGTTGAACATTTTGGATCTCTTTATTTGCTGAGAATTTCATCATTATTAGGACTGATCGCCTGTCTCAGAGGGCAACAAATCAGCTTGTAGACAAAAATTCATCAACACCCCCAATCATATGATTCCTTGAAACAGCAGCAACCATGGAGTTCCTGAACCAGAGGGCCTGATAAAATTACTTCATTCACTCATTCAATTTATATCCTGTCTTTTGTTCAGAGCTCAAGGTAGCATACCTGGTGCTCCCTTCAGCAGCAACCCTGTGAGGTAGGTTGGACTGAGAAACAGTGACCGGCCAAAGTTCGTCTAGTGAGCTTCCATAGCTGAAGACCAACCAGAACCTGAGTCTGCTCACTCCTTGTGCAACATCTTAACCAGGATATCACAAGGGTTCTCATTGATTTCTTGGTGAGAATGATTCATCTGATAGTTTCAAATATGAAATTGTACTTCAGAGGAGGCCCCCAAGTGTAGGGCCTGAGACAAATGCCTTTAAAAAGGCCCTGCCCACCAGGCTTTGCATGGCATATCAAGGATCGCACTCCAAAAGTCGGCAAGGCCAAGGTCTGTTTTTTGGTGGGAGGTTCAGCAGTTTTACAAGGTAAATAGGTGTCTTAAGCATCTGCCTGCTCAAGCCATCCATTTTGCCTCTTAAAAGCTCCCCAGTCCCAACAAATAGACACACGCACACACAAAGACCCAATTTTTGAACTGCCCATTTTGGGGCGCTGTGCACTTACAAAAGAGTTACTGATGGCTCCTTGGCCTTACTTTCTGTACTTCTGACATAAGGTGACCTTCCTATCTCCCTGAAGTTTCAGCCGGCCAGACCAACCCTTGGAAAAGGGTATAAGGATGCAATCACCTGCAAGTAACTAGACTGCAAGACAGCAGAATCTTCAGCAATAGCTTATATTAGAGCTATTGGATGTGGACACCAAACTTCCACATGAAGTCTCTGCCAGCTGTTGTGTGTGACTGCTTGCTACTCATGAGTAAACCATAAATCAAGCCAGCATGTGCGTGCTAAGCCTGAAAGAGAGCACCCACATTCACTGAGAAGCAGCTGGCTGGACCAGAACCCACTCTCCATCTCAAGCCTCACAGCTCAGTCTCTTCCTCAACTCCTGCTTCAACTGCAAAATAATTACATACTTTGAGTTAAAACATTTTGCACAAAATTTAGCTGAAGAAGTCCTTTTAAATTAAAGGAGATGGGTGTATTCATTATCTTATTTGCCGAAAAATGTGAACACCCGTGTTTCTTAAAGATTAAAAATTAGGAAAGGGTTGTTTGTTTAATTGAGGGGTCGTCATATTCTCCTAATATTTAATTGGGTGGTCCACAATTCCAAAAAGCTGGAGAAACGTTGCCATGCTTTTTATTATTTTGGACGTGCTACACAAAATATAGCGCATCACGGTAAAGCATGGAGGCTTGCCATCTGAACAATTTGGCTGGCCTACCTTCAGTTAAAACTGGTTCCATGCCATCGCAATCCAATTTAGTTAACAGCACCATAAGTGATTTGTGAACCTTGTTATCTAGCTTGAATGCACAGCCCTGGATGCCATGCCTCTGCAGGAAATAGTGCTAAGTTTGAGAAAGGATAATGCTGCCATCAATCATCTCAAAGGAAGAATAAGCACTCTCGTTTTCCAAACTGACCTTAGAGATATGAAGTGAGGTCAACTAGGATCTGGTGATCAGTACTGAAAGCTGCTGTATATCTAATGCAGTTCTCCTGCTTAGCTAACACAAAGATGTGCATGCTTAAACCATGAGTGCAAGGGAATATCCAAACAACATTAACAAGAGAGAGCTTTGGCTCTCAGATACATGGATACAGATATCCATCTGTCTAGTCCTGGCCTCTTCTATTACTAAAATATTATTTCAATCATTTTGAAGAGGAGGGAATTTTTCACTTGACTAGATATGCAATATAGCTTTCAATAGCTGCTTAGAATACCAAGCCATTCATATTTTTAGAAATTTAGTCATTCAAGCTAATGTATGTATGACTGCATACATAGCAGGTTAAAAATATTAGGCTTTTATACACATGCACACAAATACACCCAAATTTCACATTCACCGAAACCTCAATTTAATGGATCCTTCTTTACCAAATTTCAGATGCAACAGAACAGTCCCCTGAAATAATGGACAAGTCTGCTGCATTCAGTCATCTGAGCGTCATTTGTGTAAAATTACTGGGAATAATGTGATTTGCAATTTAATGGATACCAGGAGTAAAATATATCCTCACCCAACTGGTCCATTAACTCATGGTTTCCCCATCATGTGATACCCCATGGAAAAAAATCACAGTGTGTCAATTGATTAATTTGACTTTTGTGTGGAAAAACATTAAACACATAGAAGCTTTTTCATCATAAAGTTGCTAATTCATCATAGGCTGCATGTTAGAGAGCTGGCTTATATTTATAAAGAAAATTGGAAGGGAGAAGACTGGCAAATTTGTGATTAAAAATGACATATGTCAATTATCCCCAATTATCTCCATCTGCCAGCAGAAAGCAAGTAGGCCAAATCATCTAGACCAATCTAAAAATAGGAAAGAGAAAGAAGATATGGATATAGCAATATGAGCCATTTAGCCTAGCATCTGTTTTGCAAAATGGCCAGCCAGATGTCATCAGAAAGGCAACATTATGGTTGGATTTACTCATTAGTAAAATCCATGGCTATTATTAAACCACAAACATACTTGCTTGATGTCTTGAACTTGCTAGGTTGATAATATTTCTACTTCAGAACAGAAAAAAGCCCTGTAAACAGGTTATGTATAGTACTTGACAGGATTCTTTTAAATGCAAATAAACAATAATAGTAATACAACTGTGTATATTATAAATTTACTATGAGAATTTGGAAAAATATATCATAACATGGTAGTGTTCCTTTCCTCTCACATGCATCTGGATTTCTAGCCCTCATGTCAACCTTTTATTAGATCCATTCCCTAAATGGATGACTATGGACCAAATTTTTAATTCTCCAGAGTTGTAGAAAGGTTTACCAGTGTTGATTACTACATATAGCTGAATATAAAGATAGCTCCATATATGCATCACTTACAAAGTTGGTTCCCTCCTTTGCTTATATTAGTTTGTTCAACCTAACTTTCCTTGGATGATCAAAAGAAAATTCATTTTCATGTAAAAAGCTTTTTTTAACTCTTCTTGCAATCTACAACCTTTGTGCCCTTGGGGGATCCTTTGAAATGGTTTGGAATACAGTACAAGAGCTTGTAGATGAAAGAAGAGTTGGTGGAAATCTTCATATTGCAAAAGTAGGCAGTCTTTGGGGGCCAGGGTGCATTTTGAGAGTCATAAAATGACTGTAATGGGAGACTTACCTATTGACAAAATGGCTGCCATGGCATGAAACAACCATGGACAGAAGATGAACAGACCCCCAAATGTTCTCTACCATCCCAATGGGACCTTGGTGGGGCCCAAAAGTATTCCTGCAAATAAATGCACAGTTGGAGGCTGGTGCTTGCTTTGCAGAATGCCAGCTTCTTAGTTAATATTTTTCTTAAAATAATCTTTTTTAAAAATCATATGGGATGGGAATCTGGTGGGTAGTGCTACCATATCGGGGTGCAAAACCCCAGACATACACTAGATAGCAGTAAAGAGTGAACGTTGTTGGTATCTCTAATAGTCCTCTTGAGTTTTTGCAGCCCAGATATGATAGTCCTACTGTTGGGCTCCAAGGGAGATACTTGGGACACACTGGTTTCTGTTTGCCTCACATTGTTTATCCTTGCTTTATAGTTATAGAGGAGCAATTAGAATCCAAACTAGTCACAACAGAGGATCCTAAAACACATTATTTCTCCAAATTTAACTGTGGAATACATCTGAGCATTCACAACTTGCTTTAGATTTTGCTCATTTCTGATTCACACAGAACTTAAACAGTTGCCCAGGATACAGACTTTATATTAGGAATGTCTTATTATGTTTAAAATACTGTATATCGCCCTCTCTGTTATCAAAACTGTTAATTAAATACCTCTTTGTAAGAAGACATAATCCGTTCAATGGCATCTGCTCCAGAGACCAATAAATTTCGTGAGGTAGTGAGGGTTTCTGTTCGTTCACTGACCATTGCTTGTTTCTGACCATCTTCCAATTCTATTAATGAGAAAAACAACCTCAATAGGAGCAATATTTTTAATATTTCTAGGAAATATTATAAGGTGATAGACCAAAACAAAATGTTGAGTGTGGACTCTAGCGCTTCAGGATTTATATTATGGTTACAAGACATTTCTAGTATTTTGAGTACAGAAAATATTGATATGAATACATAAGCAGATGAACATAGCATTAGGGTTAGAGTCAGTCAGATTAATTAAGCTTAAATCTTATACAGAAATCTGCACCAAGGATTAGAGTTAGGCTTCCTTGAGGTCAGTTTGAAAAAACGACTGTCCGGGTGAATTCAGGCTGACTTTTTCTGTATAGCGGGCCTCTGACATTTATGTTGGGCCTCCAATTTTTTCTAGGGCAAAATTCATGGGAAAATCCTATATAAGAGAAATCTGCAGCTAGGGTTAGGGTTAGGCTTCCTTGATGCTGACAGCAGGGGAAACTTAGGATCATTTCTCTATGAGATCTAGGTGAAAATATAAAGTCATGAAAGGCATCTTGGAGGTACGTCTGGGTGTACTGTTTATTGCATCTGGTTTGTAGCATTCAGGGAAGGGAACATCTTGATATTAGCAGTAGGGGGAAGCTAGGGCTAGTGTTAAATGTAGTGTATATAAATAGTACCTTATATAAATAGTGCACTGAATAATCTTCCCCTATCTCTTATTTTCAGAATGGATTACAGCACCTAACCCAGTTTAGTCCATCTGAAAAAGAGCTATAATCCCAAAAACAAATATGGGAAGTTAAAAAAAGAAATGTTAGATTAAAAAATGGCATGGCACTTCTCATGTCAATGTGATTTGCCATATTTTTCCTTCTGTGATTTCTTTTTTGACTTCCTAGTCTTGTCCACGTAGAGTAGCGAAGTCAGGTTGGACTTGAAGGATATGGGTTTTTCTGTCAAATTAAAACAGGTAAAAAATAAAGGCCACTCCCTGTTACCAATTGACCAGATGATAATCTCTGCTTTAAAAGTAAACTCATTTACACAGTATTAGCATTAAAGTTATTAGCATGGTAGCTGTCACACAAAAGGTATCTCTCTGGCCATCTCCTGTTCCACAAAAATTCAAAGCCAAGGAAGTATTGTTACCACCATCTGCAAATCCTCTTGCAGTGATGATAGGTACTGCCACCATAATCAAGCCGCTGCTACTCCAGACATATTTCATCAGGAACTGCTCTAGCATGATGTACCAGAAGCGCTTGGACAAAATGACGTTCATTTGTTCCTCCAGAGCTTTGTAACTTTTCTGAAGTTGGTTCATTTCGACCTGTAATTTAAAAAAAAATGCAAATACTACAAGAATGTGACCCATAAGGGTAGCCTATAAACATTTATCAGACATGCCTATAGAGGTGCGTTGATACTTGTGTGTGCTGATATTTTATCCTTCAGTGCAGAACAGCTGAATATTCCTTTTGAAACTCCCAGGCAAAGACTCTATACTGTCAATTTCTAAACAGTTCAATTAATTAAAAAGGGTGGGTTTTAAAAGAGATCTCTTCTTGAAAGGAGCTTCATAAAAGGAGCACATCACTCACAAGCCTTTGCGAAGCCACCTATAAAATCTAGCACTGTGTTTTGTAGGTACAAACAGATATTTGCATTTGTATTCAAGAGACCTGATATCTGATCCAGACCATTTCAAATATTCTAGGTATTAATGCATATTACAATCAAAAGGGACTTGAAACCTATTAGTCTGAATGAGCATATTTATAAAAGTGATAGCAAATAAACTCACAGTTATTTTTTGGAGGAGGAGAGAATACTTCCAAATGAACTGCTGGAGAAGTAAATTCTAGTCCCTCAGTTTCAGTTTTTGATTGGTAAAAAAGCTATTCAGAAAGTTCCTGAGTTAAAGATTGAGGAACTCCCTGAATTCCTGTACTGTATGTTATGGTCATCTTAGCATCCCTTTTTAACTCCATGAACACAGGGAACTTGACTTCCAAGCAGAATAGGCTTGGAAGATATTTAAGAACAGAAAAAAAGTGAAAATGGGAGCAACCAAAATAGATGAAAATGAGATTTAATCAAGGACCTTAATCTCCTTGATCTTACTGATGTTGCAAATTACAATATTATTTATTTTACAGCTGCTTCACCAATTTTATTGTGAAACAGTGTTCTGATTTTTGACTTTTTTTTTTTAATCTGAAACAAGATGTTCTTTCTTTTTTCCTAACAGGGACAAAACTGCTTTGGAATGACTATTGGAACCGATGGAATTTAAAAGAATTCTCATCAAAAGCATTTGAGGCCCACCACCCAAACCAAGAGTTCTCTTCAATGATGCCAGTGACCTTTATTTTTAATGAAAAAGGCCTTTCATTAGATTGCCAAGTTGTATAAGATTTTGGTTCCCTACCTTAAATCTTGGCAAATTATAAAGAATTTTAAAATGAAAAATTGTATATAAATGTTTAAATAAATGAAGAGAGATAGGTATCCATGCCATGGGCCACCTGAAGGCGATGGGTTGGGAACCAGTAGCTAAAATAATTGATGTCAATAAAGGTATTGTGAATAACCACAGTGACAAAGAAATGATGCACACAGTGATGTCAAAATGCAAAGCATGCCCTTTTGTACTTGTATCACAATGTCAGAAACAAGTATTGATTATATTATTTATTTAAGAAATGCACATTGTTTAACAAATAACTCTTGATGGCTTACAAATCAGGACAATAAAAAAAAACAAATAAATACAACTATGTATATATAGATATAGGTATATAGATACACACACACACACGCACACACATATATGTCGCAGAATACAAAATACAAAAGCTGAGGCCCCTTACAGAGGATCCTCAGTCAACAACGTTCACCAGTATCAGACTCCACTAATAATCTGGCCCAAATGCCTGTGGGAAAAGCCAGGTTTTTACAGCCTTCTGGAAGGCTAACAGGGTTGGGGCTGTCCTTATCTCCAGGGAGAGGCTGTTCTATAGGGCAGAGGTTGAAACTGAGATTACACCTCTCCGGGGTCCCACAAGATGACATTGTTTCACCGAGGGGACCTGGAGCAGGCTCACCCTGCCAGATTTGGTAGGACAGGTCGAAACCACTGGAGACAGGCAGTCCTGGAGGTAACCTAGCCCTGTGCCACATAGGGCTTTAAAGGTGATAACCAGCATCTTGAATTACACACGGAAGCATAATGAAGCCAGTATAGCTGGTGCAGCAGAGGCGTTACATGGGTGAACCTCAGCGCACCCAACACTGTGTGTGCTGCTGCATTCTGGACCAGTTCCAAATGCTTTTCAAGGGCAGCCCCATCTACAGCATACTGAAGTAGTCCAGATGGAAAGTGACTAAGGCATGAGCAACTATGAGCAGAGCTTTCAACCCAGGAATGGGCATAACTGGCCACAAAGTGTATCTATGCAAAGATTTCCCTAGCCACAGTTGCCACCTACTCCTCAAGCAGGAGACGTGAGTCCAGGAGGACCCCCAGATGGCACGCCCAATTGGTCTGGGGGAATGCTTGGAACAATTCCAGAACCAAGGGGCCCCAAACCCCAGAGACATTTATTCTTGCTAGGTTGAGTCACAAACTGTTCATACCCATCCAGACACTTACAGAATCCAGGCACTGGGTAAGTACCTCTATGGCATCACTTCTCCTGGGTAGAGATATACAACTGAGAATCACCCACATATTCACACTCACCCCATGCCAATGGATGACCTCGCCCAGTGACTTCATGTGCATGTTAAATAGGAGTAGGGAGAGACTCAGATCTGGAGGCACCCCACACAACAGGGCCCTAGGGCTACACCTCTCCCCCCACCCATACTAGCTGGAACTGGCCTGGGAGGAAGGAGGAGAACTACCGCAAGATCATCCCTCCTGTTCCCCGCCCCTTAAGTTAGTCCAGAAAAATACTTTGGTGGATGGTATTGAACACTATCAAGAGATCTAGGAGGGCAATAACTGATGCACTACCTCTGTCCTCCAGAGATCATTCACAAGTGCAACCAATGTTGTCCAGCCTCAAACCAGACTGAAAAGGGAGTCGATCATTTTCTCAACAACCTTCACCAAAAAAGGAAGATTGGAGACTGGATGAAAATTGTCCAGTACTGTTGGATCCAAGAATGGCTTCTTGAGAAGGAGATGGACTAACCCCTCTTTCAAAGCCAGTGGAAATTCCCCTCCCACAAAGAAGCATTCACCACAGCTTAGATCCCACCACACATCACCTCCTGGGAGGCATTACCCAGCCAGGAGGTACATGGCTCTAAAATGCAGGTGGCCAAGCTCACGGCCCTAAGGACCCCATCCACGTCCTCAGAACCAACAGGTTGGTCATCCACAGGGTTTGTGTCATGATATCCCAATGCATTTTGCCATGCAACTTTCCAGCAGACACCTGTTATATCATTTAAACATCTGAATGGATAAAGCCACTGTCCCACTCACAGAAAAATTGTAAGAATGAGCTTACTGAAGGTATAATATTTGTGGGTCAGCGTTTATATATCAAAGACATTTTAGCAAAGATCGTTATTCCCAACTGAAATGAAATACTTATAGTATGGCTTTGGTTCGATTGAAATATGAGCAGTTGAAGCAATCCAAAAAGAAATGATGCTTACTTAAAACTCAGTGGTTTGGGACTTCTTCTGGACTCCTGAAGTGACAAGCCTTACTTAGGCCAGGATCCTAAGTGTCTTTGTAGCAATGTGGACTCGGACAAAGCTGCAAGACTTATCATCTCAAAACAAGGGAAATGCAGGATACATGTGCATCTGTGTTGTGGAAGGACCACCTTTGTAATATGAGGAAAGTCCTCAATGACACCATTTTGCTACCATCTTCAGCATTCCCCTGGAGGTGTGCAGTATGAATGCAGTTCCGAGTCACAGATGTTGCTAGCAGATATTCCCAATGCAAAGTTGCTCATGGGTTTAGCCTTCTGCTAGATCTGTTCGAGATGCAGGTTTCATCTCTCTCTGGTCAAGTATTCTTTCCGCTCTTATTATTATTTTTACTTTCTCTCTCTCTTTCTATTTTTCAAGTATTTTAACTTTGGTTACATTTGCTTCATCTATCTTTTATTTCCTTTCATCGACATATTAATTGCTTAGTATTAAGATCTCCATTGTATTATTACTCTGTGTGTATGTGTATTACTGAAAATAATACAATGGAGATGTTAATACTAAGCAATTAGTTTCAGACTGAAACTCTTGCCACATAGCTACTATTCTGATATGATATGCAATGGTCCTTTTTTATGTTATACTCAATTTTGGAAAAAAAGTTAAATGATTTTATGCTTGCGATATTGCTATGCTAAAAGGCTATTAATGTTGATACAATGTTTACTTTTTTCTTCTTATTTTCAGTACTTTAAGCTTTCTAAATAATAAAATGTTCATAATTTATAATCATATTACATACATATTACTGCATTGAAAAAAAGTATTCTTTCCACTCTTCTATAAGTTAAGATGCTATAACACAACTCCTTTTGATTTGTACTGTTTAAAAACTCACCCAGCTGCTTAGTTATTTAGTGAAGCATCAAAGGGGCTTCCTTTTTTCTCAAGCTCTTATCAGGACATGGCAAAAGGGCAAGAATCTTTTTTAAACCAATTGAGTTTATTTAGAAATAACATGGGAAGATGCATAGAAGTTTATTCAAGAGTCATTGGTCAGAAAACATTATTGTTTATTCAGAACAAAATCCCTCCGAGTTTAATGGGATTTGTACTCTTAATATTGTTGCAATCCATATGTATTTACCTGGGAAAGACAATGAGACTTCTGAATAAACTTCCATAAGACTGCACTTTTTGTAAATTTTGTCAAGTTTATTTCACATTCTGTTTAAGATAATGGCTGCATTTGCACGATGTGCTAAGCCATAATATGGATTGTTTGGTTCTGACTTAGCATGTTGTGTGAACTGTCACTGATGTTTGGAAACCATGATTTACAGTTTAGAGCAGTATTCCATGCTGGCCAGGGAATTCTGGGAGTTGAAGTCCACACATCTTAAAGTTGCCAAGTTTGAAAAACACTGGTTTAGGGCATGCTAGGAATCCAATCAACTGGGTTTCATTCATCCACTGGGGCTGAAGCACATCTTGGTCTGTTGCAATGTGTGAACAAATTTGGTTATCCTGAGGATAAGTGAGGTGTTTTCACTGCAATCTTTTATCAACTCAATAGGGTTTACACTGGAGTAAAAAGATACAGGATTGCAACAGACATGATCCAAATGGTTGGGAGAGCATTTAAAGTGCCTATGCATGAAGTAAATGTCTATATTAGAAAAATAACGTGCAAATTACAGAGATATATGGAGGAAGAAGGATGAATAGGGTATCCAACGGAAGATAACAGAGATCACACTCTTTTCACTCTATGTCCACCCAGATCCTTTATTGCCACAACTGCTGACAGAACAAGAAATTCATCCTATGAGTAAATTTAATTTCTGTGAAGGAAGAATATTGAAATATATTTGGCAGGATACCTAAGGAATTCTAACCTATGATTCCTTCTCTTGCCCTGGGCACTTCCAAAGAGGTCTGCTCAGGGGAAAAAAACCAGTTTATCTACCTTGCTAACCAAGCACAGAGAAAGGCCCCAATCTGGCACCCTCTAGATTAGTGTTTCTCAGCCTTGGCAACTTTAAGATGTGTGGATTTCAACTCCCAGAACTCCCCAGCCAGCACGCTCTAGATCTTGGGTATCCCAGCGATTTGGTGCTTTTCGCCCTGAGCATGTGTTCCAGAGCCCAGGAGAGATCTACCAAGAACTACAGCAGCAGCAACAGCTTAAAACAGTGGCTGGGGAATTCTGGGAGTTGACATCCCCACATCTGAAAGCTGCCAAGGCTGAGAAACCCTGGCTGAGAAGCTCTCTCTTTCTCTCCATTCATCTCTCTTCCGCTCTCTTACCTTGTGCCCTCTATAAAAAGCGATCTCTTCCCCGTTGGCAATAATCCGGGAGTGGAGGTAGCGCAGGTGGCCCCTGCGGTGAGCCTCCTCCGCCACCAGCTTGCCAAACCTGGGCGAGCAGGCTCTCAGCACTTTGGCCGTGGCGTACACCACCAGGCCGGCCAGCAGCGTGGGGCCGACGGGGCTGGCTCCTCTCGCCCGGGCCGTCTGGATGAGCGTGTAGGCGGTGAGCACCACGTCCAGGATGGGCTTGGTCAGGTTGGAGTAGAGGTGGGCCACGGACTGGGAGAACATCGTGATGTCTTCCGTGAGCGACTGGTCGGGGTTCGCCAGCCTCCCGTCCATGTTGATCACCTTGTAGTAAGTCTGCTCGGCGAAATAGGTCAGGTAGGCATGTTCCACCAGGCGGGTGCGGCACGCTAAGGTCAGCTTGCATTCGAGGTAGCGGATGGCGCTGTTGACGAAGGTGGCCGGGACGGCGACCGTCAGCCACTGGATCAGCTTCCAGGCGAAGCTGCGCGGCTTCTTCTCCACGATGGACTTCACGATCTGCCCGTCCAGCCCGGCCACGTAGATGGAGAGGAAGGTCCGCGAGACCAGCGCCGCCGAGTGCAGGCACAGCCAGGCGCTTTCGGCGCTCACCAGCTGGGGGAAGAAGATCTTGCGGAGCTCGAGCAGCTGCCGGAGAAATTCCGCATTGGCGACCGGCGAGGCTCTGCCTGCCGCCGGCCCGGGGCCCC